AGAAGTACCTAAAAAGACTATCACTGTTTTTCTTGATATAAAATCAAAGTCACAAATGAGCCCATTTCTTTGTAATCTGCAATATGGCTCTTATTCATTTTCCTAGGAAGTCCTGTCCTTCCCTTTTGTCTGTATTCAACATATAAAGCTGCCTGATGTGAAAATGAAAGTATATATGAACATGAGCTACAAAAATGTGTTTACAAAAAAAGTCTCTATTGAATAAGACTTAAATTATAAATACATGAGTCTGGATTTGTTTTTTTCCAAATATATTTATTTACCATATTCTTCACATATGCAGTATTATGCCGTTTTATGTATATATAAAAATTTAAAAACATTTTTAAAATTTCAAGTTAATGTTAATACGATGCATACTAAACAGTTTATTTATGGTACCACTGATTAGACAAACTAAGATTTTTTTGAAGAAACAAGAATTCAAGGAAAGAGCAACGAAGAATTAGAACAGACATCTTTTTAACAGAAAAAACTTTAAAACCATTTTGTATTCAGGACATTTTGCTGTTATCAGAACACCATGGATGAATGCATAAGTTGGACAGGTAGAGGCACAGCAAACTATACACTGGCCAAAATGAGCTTTTCCACCTAGCAACAGGGACATTCACATACAGGACAAAAATGGTCTCTGATCTAATGGACCCATGAGCTGCTTCAAGTTCCAAAGGTATAGAAAGCAACTAGAAAGTACATCTCACTATTTCATTAACACAAACAAAATACACTGAAGTATGGTAAAGCAGCTGAAGAATTGTGACTGTAATTATACAGGAATGAGGACAGAAAAAATTGAAATTATCTATTTTTCCCCTCTAGAGTTTTAATGTTTCTAAAATTAACGTTTTTCTCCCGAGGTGGTCATGGGGAAGAGGGAAACTACAAATTTAGTAGTATAAATATTATGCAATATTCCTACCAACAGAAAACGTATTATTTCACAGTGATTTTCAACTGCGCACTAAATTCAGAGGAAGGGAAGGTTACAGGTACAGAGCAAATGAGGTCCCAAGTTCCACTTTGCCTGTTTCAATCACAGTAGCTACATTGTCTTTTTATAAACTGGGCTTATGTAGAACACAATTTCAACAAAGTGTCTCGAAACTTTAATACCTGATAGAAATTTCATTGATGTTGAAAACGAATCAATCTTTATACAGTTTCATTGATAATACTCCTCTCATTCCTTAAAATACTTAAGTATGAGTTTCTTAGCCATAAAGTCATACAATCTAGAGATAATGAAGATACATTAAAGAAAATGTCCAAGACAGATCATATATATATAGTCTTCATGTTTTTGGACTCCTATAATGCACAAACATGAAATTCTGTACATGAAAAAATGAATCACACAGACTTTTGTTAATAAAAGTATTAACTATTTTTCATTAAGAAATTTCATTATGCTTTTCAAAATAAGCACTGTAGACTCTGGCAGAAATAGGGCTTCATTATAGTCCTTCCAATCTGTAAATTTTTAAAGTATAAATTGTAAGCTAACTCTAATAACTTTAAATACCTGGGTAATACTTCTTAGTTTACCACTTCTTTACCCTAAGGCTGAAAAAAACAAAATAATTTTGAAAAAGTGAAGAGAAATCTGAAAAATTCTGGTGAGGAGAAACATGCACTGTCTTTATCAACTTTGTTAAAATGACGGAGCATATATATTGTGTGTGTGTGTGTGTATACAGTTGCATATCCATCAAATTGCATTGCCAATGCACATCATTCTAAGAGTTTGTGAAAACAAATATATTTATTTGTTGCAAACTGCAACATTGGGAGCATTCTCATTATTACAATAAGATTTTTGGAAGCAACATGATTTTTAGATTTATTAGAAAACAAATGCATAGTGACTCCCTATTTCTGACAGGGCGAGTACTTACCAACAAAACTATGAGGTAGTTATCCTCATTTTACAGATGAGGAAAACTGCAACTCTGATAAATTAAGTAACTTTGCCCAAGGCCACAGTGTTACCAAGTATAGGTCTTATCACTGCACTTTTCAAACTTCTTTGGGGTAGAAAAGGACTGGGGGATAACTCATTTTCTTTCTCTCAATCAGAAGGAACTACAGTTTGTTTCACAGACTGAGTTTAAGTAACATTTTAAAGAAGGCTCCACAAATACAATGTTTAAATCACTGCATTGTATCATGCCACCTCATTATACAGTCTAATTACTTTATTTTCATTAATTATGTTCTCACACACAGAGCAATTGCGTTTTACACAACACTACTTATACCCCACAAGAAACAAAGATCTTTCTACGTAAAACTTAGGAAAGTCATAAATTACATCTTCTGTAGGTTGTGTGGCTGAAATGACCATCTTTTAAACAAATGCTCTCAAGTTCACTTTCTCAGGTAAGAATAAAATTTTAAATTATAACAAAAACTGCCTATACTAATAACTTCTACATAATCTATGCTTGTAAATATGGAGTATTTCAACACTGCTCTTTCTTAACTAGCCAATAATCACCCATTAATTCTGTGCAGTTGTTAAATAAGTAAAAAAGGTCTCTATTTTTGCTTACAAGTGATGTTACGGACACATATCAGACTCATTTTAATCAACTCTCACAAAATTGAAGTAAATTTATCTAGACAATTGCAGTATTATCATTCCACTAATAAACAAATTCTTTTTATTCATTATCCAGGAATTCAGATTGAAAACAAAGCATCTAATAAATTTATCTACACATAGAGATACTAAAAGGCCAAGGCTGAAAACATGAAAGAGCTTTTCAGTTTTTCTCTTGACTAAGAAAAACAATGGTTAATATTAACAACTCTTAGAGAAACAAAATTCATCATTTTTTTCAGAAGGGACAATGTACTGTTCTCCAGCTGAAAATAATTTTACACAGAACAGCAAAAATAAACCTTCAAGAAACACACTGGTAAGAATATTTTAGTTCTTGTTTTACTACTTGTTTATTTAGAGTCTAGGTGGTCCTGTAAAAAGAGACTTGCTAAAAGTGGCTTGCACTGAGTCCATAGCTATGAAACTACCTTCTCTCACAGAAAAATAGATGTTTGTAAAAATTTTAGCAGTCTAATTTAACACTGTTATCATTTATTGTTGCTTAAAATCTTAGAGATAGAAAATCAGCACTAAACAAAAAGGAAAATTACTTTAACAGCCTCAACCAGTCTAACAAATACTACCATTATTCTATAGTCTTCTCATGAGAAGGTACACTTATAGTAACTTTTTTCATTTGGTTGTTTTTTGTTGTTTTTTTTAACTATTAACAGAACTAGAGACCTAAGAGTCTATTCCTCTTGACAACTAAACTTTTAGACAAAATCCTTTCTGCTTCTAAAGACTGGCTTGTTACAATCTAAGTCTTAGACCAACATATTTTTTCTCAGTCTTTCCATTATATTTAAAATTTAATTTTTAAGAAAATGTTCCAAAAATTATATACTATATTAAAAGCACTCTCATCATGTTACAATTCCATTGCAATGGCACTGCACAGAACTCCTGGAGAATACTGTGAAATACTGGGGGGAAAACTCCACCAAAATCTTTGAGATTAATTTTTGCTTTTGAAGTGGAATTTCACTTTTGAAAAATAAACTCATCTGGATTATAGGTACACTGATTAAGATAGATATTTTTGGTCGAAATTAGATTGTGGCTATTAAGAAACTATCTTATCACACTCAAAGTGAATTTTAAACTATTCCAAAAGAGTTCCGAAAGTGTTTTGACTACAGTGGGGTTATCAGAACAGCAATGCAAGCCTTTCAAGTTGGGCTGTTCTAGGTAATAAAAATAATTGGGATACTCATAGTCTCATCTACGAGTAGGATGCAGAATTACATGGCTTCTGATATTCCTTCCAGTGTTTACTTTTTATGAACATAATCATACCTCAAACACTTAAATTCCTACATATATCTCACTGTATTAGAAATGGGCTTCTAATAACAAGGAAATACCATGCAACAGAGTGTATTTCCATAAGAACAATCACATTAATTTCTTTCATCTAAAAGTAGTCTATTAAAATATTTATAAAGAGTAATTACAGAAGCCAGCTTCTGTAACATCAGTGAAGGTGATTAATATTTATATTTCAGACTCATTAATCCATAAATTTTTATTTAGATTAATACTTATCAGACAATAAAACAATGACACCAAAGAATAATGTGAAATCACTTCAATTAAGTCATTAACTAATAAACTTTTAAAAGCTACTTTCAACACGAGTTCCATAGTATACAAAGTACTCTAAACACAACTGGTTCTGAAAACCTTTATAAAAATGCCTTTGGATGTTTTAAGAGGAAATCTTTTCCTTTCTCTCATGCTGCTTCTTTTTCCTTTTGTTCTTCTGACTTCCTCAACATACGATATTAGGCATGCAAAAGCAGGAACTCGGGGAAAGAAAATGCTTAAGACCTGAGCAGATCTGAACATTATTTAAAAAAAAAAATGCAGGGTGTACTCAAGCAGATATCATAACAATTTCTTATTTCCTTTTTGCTAACTGATTTTTTTAATTAGTAAACATTCCAACATGTGCATACAAAAAAAGAAAATACCCAAACAAACAACAAAACACAACACCTCTATGTCAGAGGTACTTAAACAATTTCTTCATTAAGAGTTTTGGTTACTTCAAAAGACAAGAAAATGTGAGCCAAGAAACAAAATATGCACAGTTGTAATGACCAAGGGTTAAGCTGACCCAGAAAATTAGCCATTACTTCCACTATTAAATGTCCCTTCTCCAAAGGAGGGAGGGAAACACCTTATTTAACTGAATAGTATCCCAGGCTCTTAACTTCATGTGACCTAAAAATGACCTGAACCATCTGTAAACCCTGGAGTAGTCCAAATCACAGACAATATCAGTTAACTGCTGGAAACAGCTGTTGGCCCTGGAACAGGCAGACCATTTAGTCTTCAGTGACAAGAAACGAAAAGTTGAAGCCTCTTAAAACACATAACGGCAAGTCCAGGTGCGTGGTCGGACATAATCCAGAAATGTAGGCTACAGGAGGAAGAAAAAAAAATACAGGATAGTTTATTTGTGTACAATGTATATTGTCTCTAGGGTTAATATAAGGAGTTCTGGTGGGGAGTTGTGCTGCTAACCAAAAGCGGCACCAATCACCAACAGCTCTGCAGAATAAACACAGTCACCTCCTGTGCAGTATATAGCCTACTAAAAACCTTCTAGAGGATGAGTTACAAATTGGTTCCAACGAAGAAGCTTATCTTTTGCTTTTCAAAGAGAGGAACGAATTGGGGGTGGGAGAGGGGGTAGAGAAAATAGTGCAACAACGAATGAATGAAAATCCAAAATCTCTGTAAATGTTCATTAAAGTTAATAAAATTAAAAACAAACAAACAACAACTCAACATTTGGCTCCAACTCAGTGGCAATGGAGGCATGGGGTAGGATTAAACTGTCAGTATTTTAATTAGAGTTGAGCATTTAACCTATGCTTTAACAGGCTCTTTGTGGGAGAGGGGCTGTTTCTGCATACCATCGAGTTGAAATGACGCATAGCTGACCTTCCAGTGGGTTTCTGAGGAGCAACTGGTAGATATGAACTTCATGCCTCTGGGTTGGCAGGGCAATTCCTTACCACTAGGCCACCAGAGCTCTCTAGGGGCATTAAATGTTGTTTCATTATTTTAATTTGTTTTAGGTTTCTTTTGTTGTGAACTCAATTTTAACTCATGACAACCTGCCTCAGAGCAGAACTATGCTCCACATAAGAGTTCTCATGACTGACTGCAAGCACATTGACCATTCGTATCACTCAGAGACTCATATATTTGTGCATTCTTAAAATCTCTCTCCAGTATTTCAATTGCCCTCAAGATATAAACAGCTAATTAAAATGTGTCCGGGAATTTTATTTACAGTATGAACTGAAGTTAATTTAAAGGCTTTATGAACCTTTTTTGGTCTAATAAACTCATAATCACAGAACTGCATAGGTTTATAACCAAACTTCAAATAGGAACTCTCCTCCATTCCTTGCCTTTTTCTTTTAACAGCCTACAGTCTAAATGATTGCAGGGTAAGAATGGTTGTGTGTGTGTGCGCGCGCACCCTCCCCCCGCCCCCTCCCCCGAACAGGGCTTAAAACTACTACTGTTCAATGAAAAGAAAGCTCAGGGCCTAGTGGTAAGGAGTGGCACTGTCAATTTGAAGGCACATGGTTGAAATCCACCAACTACTCTAAGGAAGAAAGATGGGCTATCTTTTCCATCTTTTCCCATATGACTTAAAGTGTCTGAAAACCTGCTATGAGATGGTTTTGACTTGACAGTACATAACAACAATAACAACATATGATCTAAAGGAGAAAAACATGAAGCACTATGAAAGTTTACTATTTGGAAAAAAAAATGCAGAAAAAAATGTAAAAACACTTCATGAGTTTTGATATTCAATTTATTGCTACTGAGTTGGAAATGATTCTTGGCTGACCTTCCAGCTGGTTTTTTGGAGGCTGCAAATAGCACAGGAAGAGACTGGTCTTCTTTCTCCTGCAAAGTCACTGGTGGATTCAAAGTACCTGAGGCATCACCTCTGGTTAGCAGTGCAACTCATCATGAACTATGCGCCACCAGAGCTTCCTTCTATAGAGATCTGAGTGTAAAGATCAGTACAGCCAGAGAAACAAATTTAAAAGAGTTTAGAATTCAGAATAGTTACTTCAAACACACAAAATGGATTCATGGAGGAGGACAGAGAGTTAGTGTTAATATAACAAAAATAGGACAGAGAAAGAATAAAGGCTTTGGGAGAGAAGGAATTAATTAGATTGTGTGCCTTTTCAGTTTTAAGTGCCCTTGGGACACACTTGGGTAAATGTGTTCAAAAAAGCCAAAATTAGTAGACTATTATTAGGACTAATAATTTAGATCTGGGAGTCATCTACACATATCTAAAAGCAAAGTCTTAAGGCTAAATGAAACAAGCAGATGAGAAAGAAACAAGAGCAGCAATAAGAGGCAGATGGCACCCTCGGCGTATCAGTGTTGTCTGTACATTTTACCAAGATCATACTACTTCAGGAGGGAAGGGGTAACATATTTTGGGTAATGGAAAGTTGAAAGAAATAGACATACTGTTAACGAAAACTCTGGAAAATACATTTTCAGGAGACAGGAAGGAAAAAAGAGAAGAGGTTTTTTTCTCTGTCGTTAAAAACAAAATCAAAGAGGATGGGGACAGTAAAAGAGAAAAGAGTCAACAGAAAAGAACAAACCAAAGAAAGGATCATTTTCAAGGACCACACAGTAAGGCTGGTTATATAATAAACTAATGATTTTCTATTTCCCTCCCTCCCTCCCCACAACACTTAACTTATTTTAACCTCCACTAATATCCCTGACAATATTATGCATAAAATCTTACAAAGAAAGGATAAATAGGTTTACTTTTCAAGTGTAGTCTAATTGAGGACTCACATTTTTCAGAGGACAATGCTGACGTGCATACCACTCTTGAGAATAAAAACACAGGATGATTCCTTGACCCACGAAAAGGGAAGCCCACATCATAATATTCCAAACTGGCCTTTTCCGACTGTCATTTACAACAAAGTTGAAAGCCACTTAAGAATATGAAGAAAAAAAAATTATCAAAACAATCAGGAGTTGAGGAGTCTCAGAAATCTGCTGTTATCTCTGAATAATCACAATGAATATCTATTATTTCGTTACATATTTTACAGCCCCACCTATTCAAAGAAATAAAAACCAAAGCTTTGTAGTTGTAGTTTAGTGAGTAATGATCAAAATATTAAAAAGATGAAAATATAGATTATGAAATTATTAATATTCTAATTAGCCTCTCTTGCTTACTCTAAAAATGGCCCATTTTCTGGTGAAAGGAGTATATGAATGGAGACGCTGTTTATATGAGTAGTTTTGCTGATCTATCAAATGAGGGGCCTCAATGGGTTTTACAAGGTTATCTACATTTCTCTGCTTCAAACTATAAATATGTCAAAAGAGTTGACTATAATTATTCAGATATTCAATGTTCCTACCACCTGAAAATAACTGTCTTAAGATGTATTATTATATACTATCTACTTTTTTACATTGATTTAATAAATTTTTTTTGTCTGTTTTTCAGCATACGGCTAGTATTCCTGTATGCCTAGATACTTACTTCCAAAGAACATGAAGAGCACGAACAGCACCGGATAGAAAAAGTTCAAACAAAGAGCCAAGGCATATTCATGCACTACAGCAGACACAGCAAAGACAGCGAACATAGCAGCAGATTTGAATCTCTTAGTGAAAAACTTAGAAAGAAAGAAAAAACCTTTAAAAACTAATGAAAATGCAAATTTCCAGCAAACTTTCATTAAAATCACAATTAAAAATCCTAATAAAACATTAATTATAAGGGTTACAACTCTTACGTTAAAATCCCTTATTAATTACACTGAGCTTAAAAATTTAGAATGTAAGGTTTTACATTCATGTTGCTAAAATGAGGCCTTTTCAAAAACATTACCAACAATATGGGGAAACTGGAATTGCAAGTCTGTCTTGTTGACAAACATCTTTTAAATACAAACACATGAAATGATAATCTCTTAATACTATATGGTGGACTATGACAGAAGACTGTATTATTTTTACAGGTACAAAAATAAGGGTTAGAAAGGGTAAGCTTTTTCTATGTGTTAAATGACAAAACTAGCCCACAAATGCAATGCTTTTTGTATTACAACATGCTATAACTTAGCCAAATGCTTCCCTTAAATAACAGTTAAAAAATACAATGCAGGGACACAAGGATTAATCAACTAGAAGATTAAAAATTGTATTTCATCTTTCTAAATACATTCTGCTTTAAAGAACATCATGAAGACATGTCTCTATGAAGCGGAGAAACACCTGAAGTATTGATTTTACATCTCTTCAATGAGAGACACATGCGTAAAGAATCTCCAGTCTTTAAACGGTTAACTAAATCCTGTGCTTACCCAGAGGAAGTCTTTGTAAGCATAGTAATACAACCAGTCATGAACCACCACATTCCAGGTTCTATAATAGTTAGAGTACGATGTAGAGTTCCACCAGTCCTAAAGGAAAAAAGTGAAAGTATTAACCTAAATTAAAAGCCAAAACAATCCCAAAAAGTTCCTTGCATATTCATAAAGAATACACACTCTCAGAGAATTTGGTATCCAGAGGATGTTACAATAAATTGTTGTGATTTCAGAAAAGTCTTAAGAAGGCATTTTTGTTAACAGTGTTTAGTAAGGCATTAGTTCTATATGTCCCTAAAGTACTGTGGTAACATTATTACACAAGTTATAGGGTATTCTAGTAATCCCTACAAGTATGTTGGAGGGAGACTGAGAAAGATGGATTCAATAATGTATACTGCATTGAAACAGATGAGGGAGAAAACTGTTTAAAAGGGATATGTGATTAGGTATTATTATCATGACAGGGGTCCAGAATGAAGGCTGCATAATGGAGTGGACCTGGGGGGAGGGATTGTAAAACAATGGGGGAACTTTTCAAAGAGAAGAGTGTACTGGGGCGGGGTGGGGGTGGGGAGAGGCAGGGAGAAAAGTGCAACATTGAATGAAAGGAAAATAATCAAATAACTTCAGTTTCTAATGTTCACTGCATAACGCAGGTTGTTGATGAACAATCCTGATGCCACATTCCTC